CCTCCTCCCCCGGTCATTCCTGATGGGCATTTGGCTAGTAGAATCGTAAAAATTAGGGCTGGAAGAGGACTCAGGAGGTCATCTAGTCTAACCCCCCTGCTCAAAGCAGGACCATCCCCCACTAGATCATCCTAGCCAAGGCTTTGTGTAACCAAAGATGGAGATTCCTCAGCCTCTCTGGGTAACCTGTTCCAGTGTTTCCCTACCCTTCTAGTAAGCAAGTTTTTCCTAATATCTAAACTCAACTTCCCTTACTGCAACTTGAGACCACTGCTCCTTGTTCTGTCATCTGCCACCACCGAGAACAGTCTAGCTCCATCTGCCCTAGAACCACCCTTCAGGAAGTAGAAGGCAGCCATTAAATCCCTTCTGAATTTTCTGTTCAGATTAAATACGCCTAGTTCCCTCAGCCTCTCTTCATAAGTCATGTGCCCTTAACCATTTTTGTTGTTCTCTGCTGGACTCTAATTTGTCCACATCCCTTCTGTAGTGGGGGGGCCCAAAACTAGACACAGTACTACAGCTGTGGCCTCACCAGTGCTGAATAGAGGGGAATAATCACCAGGGATCCGGGTTTTCTATTTTCCAGGGAAAAACAGAGAAAACTCTGATTCCGTTTTTATCGGAGAAAACACAGATTTCTCTCTTTAGCAGAGAAATCCACGGATTCTCCACTTTTGCAAAGAGCTCTTGCAGGCTGGCACAGCTCCAGCCTTCAGGAGCCAATTGCAAAAAGGGTAGGAAACCCTTGGAGGCAGAGGCAGTCACAGCTGTTACGGGCGGCCCTTACCACTTGCCTGTGGGGCTGCCCGTGCTAGTGGTGACGACCACTGCGTACAAAACCTCCTGGTGCCATGGAGCCGTGCTCAGTGCTGTGCGGCTGGAGGCAGTGGCACAGCGCAGGGTGGTGGTGGGGATGGCTGCATGCCGCCCAGCCACCACCACGCTGCTGCTGCCACCCACCAGCTGGCCGCACAGCTCCACGGCGGCAGTGGAAGGTTTTGGAGGCAGCAGCCGTCACTGCCATAGCGGGCTTCCAGGTAAGCGGCAGCACTGTGTGCAAGCCCAACACCCCCCCCCGCCGCACCCCCATCCCTTGCCTTGGCTGCAGAGCCAGCCACGGAGCTATGCTCCAGCCACATGCCAGCCTCCATCTCCCCCTCCCTTGGGCAGGAGGCCAGGTGGCATGTGTGCGGCCTACACATGGCGGGTACCACCACACCGTGCCCTGCATCACTGCTATGTGCCGCCTGGGGCTGGCAGCACCCCATGCTCCCTCAGCCCCCAACCATCTTCCCCAGCCCTGCCCCACAGCCCCCGAACCCTACTTACCTCTAGGATCTAGGGGCGAAGGGCATGGCTCTGCAGTGGTAGTGCTTGCCCGCAAAGCCCCTCCACCCTGTGTGCAGATGCCACCATGGAGCTGTGCAGCTGGTTGCAGAGCATGCTGCTGAATACAACGCCCCCCCGTTGCACCCCCCAGCCAGGCGGCACTTATGTGGCCTGCACACAGTGGTTGCCACCGCACTGCTGCTGCTGTGCCCTGCACTACTTGCCCACAAAGCCATTCAGGTGGCCGTGGGATGGTAGCACAGGGCGCAGTGGCAGAGTTGTGGTGGCGGCTTCCATGTGTGAACCTCTTGTCAGGCTGGCCGGCATGCGTGTGGCCCATTGATCTACTCCCCCAGCACCTTCCCTTTCCCCCACCCTGCCCCGCCTCTTTCCTCAACACACACTTACCTGCTGGGGTGGGTGTCTCTGTTTGTCTGCATGTCTGTGGGTCTGGGGGGGCTGTTGCGAGGGGCATCAGGAGGGCTGATGAGACTGGAGAGGAGTGTGGGGCACCAGCAGCACTGGGAGGAGCTGTGACAGGCCTTTAATTCTTATCACAGATTTTGGGTTTTTAATCGGAGAATTTGCAGTTTTTAATCGGAGAAAACCAGGATCCCTGATAATCACTTTCCTTGATCTTCTGGCAGCAGTCCTACCAATGCAGCCCAGTATACTGCTAGCCTTCTTGGCAACAAGGGCACACAGTTGGCTCATATTCAATTTATCGTCCACTGCAACCCCTGGGCCCTTCTCTGCAGAGCTGCTACCCAGGAAGTCATCCCCAGCTGTAACAGAGTATGGGATTCTTCTAAGTGCAGGACTTTGCACTTGTCCTTATTGAACCTCGTGAGATTTCTTTTGGTTTAATCCTCCAATTTGTTGAGGTCTGCTTGAATCCTAGCCCTACTCTCCAGCATATCTATTACTCCCCCTGGCTTGGTGTCATCTGCAGACTTGCTGAGGGTACACTCTATGCCATCTTCCAGGTCATTGATAAAGATATTGAACAAAACTGGCCCCAAGACTAACCCCTGGGGCACTCCACTTGCTATTAGCTGCCAACTGGACATCGAGCCATTGATTTACTACCCTTTGTGCCTGATGATCCAGCCAGTTTTCTGTTTATCTTACAGTCTGTTCATCTAACCCATACTTCCTTAGCTTGCTCGCGAGAATGTTGTGGGAGATGGTATCAAAAACCTTGCTAAAGTCAAGGTATACCGCATCCACCCGTCTCCCCTCATCCACAGAGCCAGTTATCTCATCATAGAAAGCAATCAGGTTGGTCGGGCATGACTTGCCCTTGGTGAATCCATGCTGACTGTTCCTAATCACCATCTTCTCCCTCCAAGTGCTTAGAAATGGATTCCTTGAGGTTCTCCATTTTTCCAGAAACTGAGGTGAGGCTGACAGGCCTGTAGTTCCCTGGATCCTCCTTTTTCCCTTTCTTAAATATGGGGACTATGTTTGCCCTTTTCCAATTGTCCAGGATCTCCCCCAATTGCCATGAGTTTTCAAAGATGATGGCCAGTGGCCCTGCAGTCTCATTGGCCAACTTGCTCAGCACCCTTGGGTGCATCCTATCCAGCCCCATGGACTTGTATATGTCCAGCTTTTCTAAATAGTTCCTAACCTGTTCTTTTGCCAGTTGACTGGTCACTTCCTCTCTAAACTATGCTGCCAGGTGTAGTAGTCTGGGAGCTGACCTTGCCTGCGAAGACTGAGGTGAAAAAGCCATTGAGCACTTCAGCTTTTTCTATGTCCTTTGTCACTAGGTTGCCTCTCCCATTCAGTGAGGGGCCCACTTTCCCTGATTTTGCTCTCATTACTGACATACTTGTAGAAACCCTTCTTGTTACCCTTCACAACCCTTGCTAGCAACTCCAATTGTACTTTGGCCTTCCAGACTTCATCCCTGCATGCTCGAGCAATGCTCTTATATTCCTCCCTAGCTTTTTGTCCTTAAGTGTCCACTTCTTATAAGCTGCCTTTTTGTGATTTAGCTTACTGAAGAGTTCCCTGCTAAGCCAAGCTGGTCTTCTGCCACACTTACTAGTCTGCCTGCACGTTGGAATGGTTTGTTCCTGGACTCTCAGTAAGGCTTCTTTCAAGTACAGCCAGCTCTCTTGGACTCCTCATCTTCCTCTCAGACTGCCTTCCCAGGGGATCTTGCCCATAAGTTCCCTGAGCGAGTCAAAATCTGCTTTTCTGAAGTCCAGGGTCTTTACTCTGCTGCTTTCCTTCCTTTCCTCAGGATCCTGAACTCAATCATCTCGTGGTCACTGCTGTCCAAGTTGCCATCCATTACTACATTTCCCCACTAAATTCTTCCCTGTTTGTGAGCAGCAGGTCAAGAACAGCAGGGCCAAGCTCCAGCACTTGCACCAGGAAGTTGTCTTCAATGCTAGCACATGTTAACGCTTTGTGAGTAAAACGCCTACTGAGAACTACCTTTTAAAGCAGGCTCGCTAGCTTCAGAGAAAATTACTATTCTGCCTGATCTTCCAATGAGACATCATCGTCCCTTCTAGATAATTCTGTAAATACTCTGTAACAAAATACCACTGGAACAAAAACTTACAATAATTTTATTTTATTATTGTACATTCTGTACAGTGTGTTACCACCTTCCAGATCTTTGAATGTTGATGATTTGCAATTCCCTTCCATACAGACTGGTCCTAGGCCTTCCAAGAAGTACATTTCTTTTGTCAATTTATATAGCCAGTTTACAATTCATTGCTGATATCTGATCTTTTTCCTAATTTTCACTTTTGCTAGTAGCGATTCCATCTGTATTTGAAGTGTGTACCCATTTTAATAAGAACTGTGTGTACTGTTTTGCTCAGGGAATAGCTTTGGCCTATTCATTTATAATCCTCAGACTTGGAACAAGAATTGAGGGAGAAATATTGTAACAGCAGTAAGTGAAATATAAGGTTTTATTAGTGCAAATGTATAATATAGTATAGCTATAAAACATAGTTTATCAAAACAGTTTATTGGATACATATACCATGTTTAAGTCAATAAATAAGTGGTATTTTCATGTCCATTTTTGCCAGCCTAATTTTATCACTGAGGCTGCCTGCAGACATTCAAAAACAAAACAAAAACCCCCCAAATAAAAACCAGCATTTTACTTTAAGCTCAGTGCATTCCTGTGCTGAGCCCTGCACATGCCCAAAAGAGGCAGTGCTTTAGTTGGACCTAGCTTGCTCGTCTGTATAGATTGGGCACTTTAGTGAGGCTTTTTTGGCACTTTTATCTAATAGCTGATTAACTCTGCTTTAGCTAAAAATGCCAAAAAGCCCTGCTGCAGCACCAAATCTATTCAGATGCCTCAGTCAGGTGGAAGTAATGTGCTACTTCTTCCAGTAAAGTGTGGCTGTTTTTTCTTAAATCTCTGCAAACAGCCCGATTTATTATAGGATGCTATATAAGTCAGTTTAAGTATGAAGGATTATATGACCTTGAATAGCTATTACTGTAGACAGCTATATACAACAATAAACTGTACATTTATGTGCTGATTTAATGATGGATTTAATTAAAAACAGTGTTAATCACAAACTAATTTAATTTCCTGCTTTTTTTTTTTTTTTTAGCACTGCTTATTTTCTGTGATATATCTCTGTGATGTGATGCAGAATAGTAACAACTAAGTTCATCATTCTTTTAGGCATCCCCTGCATCCTATTTTTTTTTTTGTATATTTTAGACCCTAATTCTGCATGCAGATTCATGAAGAAATAAATGTCAACCTGCAGGAGCTAAGAGCAGGACTGTGGCTTTACAGAGTCTGTCTTTATTTTCTGCTGCGCAGAAGCAATTATTGATGCTTAAATTTCTACACATGCGTTTTGGTTTCGGTTTTGGTTAGTTTCCACTAGTATACAAAACCTTGTTTTTTGTTTGTATATTTGTTGTTCTGTGATTTGTCTGTCATCTGCATATACTTCAGAGGTTCCCAAGAGCAGGCACCAAGTCTTAATGGTTAGAAGCTGCCCACTAAGACACTTCTGGAGAGGAAAAGTCCCACTGAGTCTGCATAGAGAAGGTTGCCATGATAGATACCAGAATGGACCTCAGAATTTTTTTTCAGACCAGTACTAATTATTATACTTTCTGGTGCTGTTTTCACAGCCGTATGCTCGCTGACCCGGGAAAATATGTCCAGACCCAGACCTGATGTTACGATATATTACCATAATCTGTCTCCCACTATGCCAAATTCTGAGGTCTTAATGTCTCGTATACATGCAAATTCTCATTGGGTTTTAGTGTTTAATTGCTTAAAGCATCATACATTTTCTCAATAATCAGGACTATTTTATGGAAATGAATTTATATTTATGCACTTTCCTTCCCAACTATCAAAATTGATTAACCTTGAACTAAAAGTTTCATCTGATGGAATGTAGACTTGGTAACATGATTGATTATATAATATACATGTCTTGCTAACAGAAAAATCCAAGTCTATGGGCACATCTACACATGCTGCTATGGCGCAGTTACAGCCGGTACTGTGCCTGATTATTTTTAGGCACTATGTTGCCATAACGATGCAACTGGGGGAGCGCGTTCGCTACAGCGATTGCAGCTGCGGTGTCACAGGTTTTGCACGTGGACACTGTTGCCGTAGTACGTTGCTACAGCAATGTAGCGTCATGCATAGACGTGCCTTGTGCAATTATTGCTTTAAAGGATCTCAGATTAAGGTTGTGATGATAATCTTTGAATTACTGCATTGCTACTATCTTTTATTAGAACAACTATATAATTGGGAAGGAAGTTTGACAAGCTTTTGGGCACAAAGTACCCAACTCTAATCATTTTATTTCTTGAGTGCATTCACTATACTAATTTATTTCACAGAAATGATATATAACAGAGTCAACACTTCCTTTCTGTATTTTTTTTCCTATACAGAAATGTTCTATTTAAGCCATTTATCAATTGCACGTTCATACTTTTTTGGGTCCTTTAACCAGTCTTGATGCCACCTAAGGTTCGCAATAATATTTGAGTAGTTTTGTCCTACACTCTGTTTCCAATTGATAAACTGCTTCTTGTTGTACTCATGGACAGAAGCAGAGACCTTTGGATAGTCAATTATGGAACGAAGTTTTTTCTCCAAGGAGTGTGCTACTTCCCTGTATGTTGTAGCTACATTTGTTAGTTCATCCGGATCGGCAAAAAGGTCTGCAACAAACAAGAACTGTTAATAGTTTGCCAAGGTATTTTTAAAATTAAACAAAACTGAGAAATTAAAAAAAAATTAGTAAAGTAAAAGTTGTTAATATACCAAAGAGCTGAGGAGGAATGGAGTGATCATTTGAATACGCAATATATTTCCATTTGTCAGTTCGAAGCATATAGGTGGAAGAATTCACATTGCATCCATGGAACTCACTTAGTACCCATGTTGGATGTGGGCTTCTGGATAAGGTTTCATCTGCCTTTTCAGATAACAGAGGCATCAGGGAATACCCACTGAGGTTGTGAGGGAGAGGGATTCCAGCTATATCTAAACAAAGACAAACATTATTAAACCTTCTCTTAAATAATGCTAATAACAATAATGAAGTCTTGGTACTGTATTTACTCAAATCTAAGTTGTCTCTGAATTTTAAGATGACCTCCCCCCAATAATTAGATTTTATATATGGACAATTTATGAATTGGTTACAATTATTGGAGCGGGGAAAATAGAAGGTGGGGTGTGAGGGTCAGGCAGCCTTCTTGCCCCTGTACTCCCAGCTCCCCATAGCCTTTTCCCCTCCCCCTCCACTCCACAATCTCTGCCCCTTCCTCACCCCTGCTTTCTGCAGTCTCTCCTTCCCCACTTCCCCTACCTCCCACCTGGCTGTCAGATACTGCTGGAGCTCTGTTCCCTCCCAGAGCATAGCATATAGAAGCTCATCCCTTGCTGGGGCATGCAGTAATGTCAGTGCTGCTGACTGGCTGGGCTGGGGACAGGATTTCCATGTACTTCATGCCTGGAAGGAAACCCAGCCTGGGCTGGGGCTGAGCTATAAATGACAATGAGTGGGGCAGGGAGTGGGCAGAAGCTGCAGAGGACAAGTGGAGGGGACAGGGAGGAGGCTGCTGTGGGTCTGACTGGCTCCAACCTGGGCTCAGGGCCTGAGTCAGAGCTGCAGCAGCTGCCTGCCCCCTCCCACCCTGCTTGGTACACACATCTAAGATGAGGTGCTTTTCTTTCTAGGTTGACTGGTAGGGAGTGTGGGGGGGGGAACTTCATCTTGGATTTGAGTTAATACGGTACATAGTGAACATGCTAGTGAATCAAAACATGTCCTCTAAACTTGGTTCCTGGTAAGACCATCATCTAAGAGCCAGATAAGTATTAAGGATTAACTGAAAGAGGATTCCTCTGCCACAGGCATTGCATTAGCAACTACTGTACCCCATATATATTGCTTTTCATCAGTGGATCACAAAATATTTTCCAAAAGGAGCTCAATATCAATATCCCCACTTTACAAATGGAAAGCTGAAATACAGGGAGGTAAAGTAATTCAGCCCTGATTACTCACCTCCTTACAAATGCTAGTGAGAAGACAGAGTGAGTAGAAGTCCTGGCAGAAAGGGTTATTCTGTTGGTATACTGCATAACACAAATTCCATGCAATTTTATATTACACAGTGCAGCTGTGGGGGCCTGTCTCAGCTCAGTTACAGTATGAGTGTTTTTTCATTTCAACAGAGATCATTAGGAAGCTGCAATGTCTTTAAGATGTGCTACGGGAAGGTTTATACCTGTCTTTGCTGCTGAGAATCAAGCTCTGTCCACTTTTGCTCGGCATATGACCAATATTGGCATTTAGACATAGTAGCCAGTGAGAGGGGTCTTGAGCATGTACCCTGGTGTTGCTCTCTATTTAGGAAGATTAGCATGAGTAAGGTTCTCTGCTATCTAAATGTCAAAGTGCCTACTAACATCAAAGTACTACATATGTGAAATATTTTTATTATTCTTCCAAATACAATCTACGCTGATTAAGAACTCAACATTGCCTATTTCATGATAGATTTGTGTAGTGTATATTTTATCTAAAAGTTATTGCAGGTACATGGAGTGGTCACTTCATTTTTAAGGGTACCCTCTATATGGATAGTCCTAGCTGGTGAATTCTCTTCCCACAGCCCTTCAGTAGTATGTAGCGCTTTTTTTCCCTATTCTCTCTCTTTTGTTGAGTTGCTTTTGCAACCTATACATTTGCCATCAAACTCTCTTTCCGCTTCCTGCTATAGTGAATAGAAAACTTTTCCTTAGCAATAAAAAGAAAAATAGTAATCTCCAGTCTGTGGGCCAGATATGCCCGGCCCTAAACGGAACTTAAACTTCTTTCTCATACCCCTGTGTAGCACGTGGGAAGACCTGCAGTATCTGCGTTCCCTTAAGTGCAAACACTGTTCAAAGCCAAGGGATCTTCAATGGCACAAGCCAAAATGATTTTGGGCTCCGCAATTCAAAAAGGATGTGGAGAAGCTTGAGAGAGTGCAGTGCAGAGGAGAGCGTGATCAGAGGTCAGGAAAACAGACCTTATGATGAGAGGCTGAGAGCCATGGGACCTTCAGCCTAGAAAAGCACAGGCTCAGGGGTGATCTATACATTTATCAGGGGTGCTCATCAGGATCTGGGGGGAACGTCTGTTCACCAGAGCGCCCCAAAGGATGACAAAATCGAACAGTCGCAAACTCTGCCACGACCGATTCAGGCTGGACATAAGGAAGAACTTCTTTACTGTCCAAGCCCCCAAGGCTTGGAATAGACTGCCGCCGGAATAGACTTTCCCCTCTGGGGAGGGCTGGGAATTCTGGGGCCCCTCTGGTAGAGGTGTGTGTGTGGTGGGGGTGCCATGCTCTGCCACAAAAATGGTGACCGGTGCTGCAATCAAACAACAAAATCAGGGCAGCTGCCCCAAATTCAGTAGGTCCCTACATATAAGTACCAGATCTGGGACATATAATTTTTTACATCACAGGAGATTGCTAAAATGAAACAGAACTTTAATTTCTTGATTGCCAATTAAATTAGGGTCTAGATAGTGTAGCAGAAAGCCCCCTTTTCCTCCTGCCTGCATTTGCTCTCCCCTCTTTGAATATGTTTTTCCTTTTCTACCTTTTCTTCCTTCCTCTTTCTTTCACTTTAAGATGAGGAAATGTGTTTTAAAATTTATATACGTGCATTTTGTATCTCCCCGTGTATGTTGGTATTTTTATCTATTTGTGCACCATGGCATTACTCTTGTAGCTTATATTTTATACTCCTCACCTTTCAACTATAAATGTGTTTAGTAACAATGTTAACAAGGGTAGGAGTCAAACTGTCGCTTCCCTGTATCAGGCTGGCCCCTGAAAGAGCGAGTGAATCAGTGATTGAATGTATAACACTGTAGCAACAGACAGCAATTAACACCTAAGGAAACTGCAGATCAGCCAACGGAAGAAGTCAATAGAAGACAATGTAACAACCGGGAAATCTCTAAACATCACTGATCAAGGGCTAGAAGCCCTGGCCTGAGTTAATCAACGCCGGGGACCAACTTTTGGGATGAATATCTCCAGATCGACCGCTCCCAGAGTCCTATTCAAAATTCATCAACGGACTCCCAAACCTGCACGTACATGCGGACGACCCCTGGGGCTGACAGATGCCATCCAGTAGCCACCGAGGGGGGGGGGAAGTCCCAGGAGGGTCAATGACCCCTGGATTGGGCAAACCTGAAAACTGAGGAGTCACCAAAGTCTGCTAAGGACAGATAAAAAGCAGTGAAAAGTGACTCTCAGTGGCGCCTTCTTGATCTCCAACTCGACCAGACCTGTCCAGCCGGAATGACCAGCCGGCGACCCCCTTCTGGAGGATAACACCACACTGAAAGAGCCTTGACTGGCCATCGACGGCAGACTCCAGCGCTTGTAGGATAGGTATACCTGACTCTTGTAGCTTGCTACTGTGTGTGTGTGTGTGTGTGGGGACCAGCCCCAAGGTTTATGATTTAACTTCATTACAGTGCTTCAATCTGCCTAATAAACCAGAATTTTAAGGATCCCGAGTTGGACATTTGTAGCCAACAATAGGATTGGCAGATATTATCATCTGATGACTCAACTCATGTGGAATGATTTGGTGGTCCCAGCCCTTGTCTTTAGTAGAACAGTTAATATAAAAATCACCACTGCCATAAAGTAGGTATTGACATCCTTGACTGCACTCTTAAGAGAGGCCCATGATATATTCTGCATGCAGACTGAACTATCTTCTGTCCTGTAAGGGTTCTCGTCAGAGGCATGTTATAAAAGTAACGTTTGGGTGTGTTTGCACCATGCTTTTGCTGTACTTTGTTCTTTGGACAAAAATTAATTTGCCTGTGTTGTCAACTGAATGACTTTAGCACATGTGCAGTTTCTTTAAGGAGAACACAATGGTGGGCAGAAGAGAGAGAGCAGTATAAATAGACATCAGAAGGAAGAATCATGGGGAAAGAGAAGTGAGGAAATCTGAGCAATGGAGGTAGAATAATGGAAGGTGGGGCAGGGAGGGGGGCAGAGAAGAAAGTATGTAGGTCCTCTCATCCTTTTTGTATTACCTTACTTTTACTGCTGCCTAACCAACTTCTGTCACCTTTAATCTTTCTTTTCTATGCCTTTTAACACTTTCTTCCTTGTATTTGATACCTCTGTTCCTCTCCATATTTTTGTCATCAAGGGCTTCCTTCATTCTCTTTGATTTTTAAATGCTACTCTATTTCATAATCACCCTTTTTCTCCTATTTTCATCTTTTACATTTGACCATGAATGCTAGATCATCTCTGCTGATCACCAATGCAGTGGCTCATTCAATGAGTTCTCTCATCAATTTTCCTCCTTTAATCCTTCCAATAGTTCCAGTTAACCCAATCTTTCCTAACTCATGGCCTCCTTCACCCCTACTCCCATGCTTCCATTACCCTACTCTTTGGTTTTCTGTTGAAAGGCTGTTTCCTTCAAAATACAATACTTACTTGCATGTGTAGCGTCAAAAAATACACCTTTCATATACTAGCTTTTGCACCCATTACATGTTCCTATTCTTTCTTTCTCCTTTAAAGTCACTTAGTGTACTTTCTATAACCATGGTATTAAATTCATTTCCCCCAGTTTCATCCAAGACCCTCCATTATCCGGTTCCTGTTGCCTGTTCTACTAAAACTGCTCTAACTAAAGCTTTCAGGTATTTTTGTTTTATGGCCAAATTACTCCAACTTCATCCTTCTTGGCCAGCCTTTCTTTTTCTTAATCACACCTTAACCTTGAAATCCCACCCTAGAGCCTTATATGATGATACCTACCTAGCAATTTATTGTAGGTAACTAGTATATAGTTTACTATTTCAAAGTTTCTTATCTTATATGGGGAGAGGGGAATCATTTGACACATGCTCTTTCATGGACTGTTAGTCTTTGTAACATTGGGTTCTGTGACTAATTCTCATCCTATTTTCAATGCCTCTGTTTAATTCTAACGCCCAGTTGTCGTAATAATCTTGTAATACAGGTGCATTTAAACCCCAACCCCATTATGGACTCACGGCACTCCTCCATAACTTTTAGAAACTGAATGGCACCTAATTTTTAAGCTACTTTGTATATTACAGTGCTTACCTTCTTGCACAGAGGCTGGCACCCTGGCTGAGAATCACTGACTTAGGACAATGGAGCTCTGATTTTGATTGTAACTGCTTTTAATTTGTATTTGACTTAACTGAAACACTGAGATTTTGGTATTCCAAACAGAACTGAGTTACTTACCGAGCATGGTAGGATAAATATCCACAAGTGAGACCACATTTGATACACGATGTTGTGCTTTAATATTTGGCCCCATTACTAGAAGAGGAACATGGGAACTTCCTTCATACATGCTCATTTTATAAAACTGCTGATGTTCCATAGCTAGTTCTCCATGATCTGCAGTGAATATAATAATGGTTCTTTTAAGAAGTCCTGTATCTTTCAGAGCCAAAATGATTTCACCTGCAACAAGAGAAACTTTAAAAGCAATTTGTTCAAATATACCTTTAACATTTTTGGATTTGCAGAGCACCAGGCAAATCTTGAGAGCCTCTTGCCTACAGCAGTGGAGACGCAAAGGCCCATGTGCCCCTGTCTTCCTTTGAAGGCAGAACCCAGGACACCACCGTCACTGTGCTTCTCAACCTGTCAGCCTCCTCAGTGATCACTCTCCTTCCTCAGTGTTTTCTCTGCTGTCTCCTTGCTTATTCGCTGCTTTTCTAGTTTCTTTCACACTTGCATATGAAAATACCATCTAATCAAGGCCCCAACCCCAATGCTTCGCAGTCAGCCTCCAGGTAAACTTGAGCCATAGGGCTTAGCTTTAACTAGGGCTTTGCGTGCTGGTCTGTATTAGAGCAGTAGCTTTTTTTGTTTCAGCTATTACTAAACAAAGCAGCAGTAAGTTTTTCCATCATTTAGCTGTGAGGAATGGTGCCTGGTGCATTACCACCTCCCCTACCATGGCTGCCATTAAGATTTGCCAATATAACACTATACTATCCTGGTCTGAATTCCCACTAGTAATTGATAATTGACAGTATTCCCAGAACTTGTACCCTAGTCCACCTTGTTCTTTTTCATATTCATCCTTTATATGATATCTAAGAAATCATTTAATACACAAACTCAAATGATTCTCTACAAAAAAATAAGTCTGATCAGAATTGTCAATAGCTTTAATAGTCTTTTTCTGTATTATGGAATATCACCTACCAAGCATAGCATCTGTCTCTGCACACATAGCATAATAAAAAGCTCTGATATCTCTGATTTCTTTCTTTGTAAAATGTCCAGTGCAGTTCTTGGTATAAGAAGAATAATAGTCTATTGGGTGCATATCTGAAAGGGGAATCCATTTTGGAATTTTAATGGCTTCATACATTACCTAAAAACAAGAGGAAATTAACTTATTTTGGCAAGCATATTTTTTTTACATATAGATTTAATAAAAACTGTGAAAACTGTTCAAATTTCAAATGATCATCCACAGAACACCTGTTGATTATCTGTTACATGGTACTCCCTCCTGCTCCTTGTTTGTTTTTTTTTACTGTATTAACAAACCCATCTGATCAAATAACAAATGTAACATTTAAAGATGCATCCAATCCCCCAAAATATACATAAAGACAGCTATTTATCTATTTATTTAAGAGAGCAACAGTGCTCTCTTAAGCCAAATCAGTGTCCAGAGGAGTTTTGTGTTCTTCTCTTCCTTTCAGTCTCTAACAGTTCCTTTATTTCAGTTAACATTAAGTTTTTGTGTTTCTTAATTTCTGTATAATAAATTCACACCCTCTTTTCCCTCAGAACTCTGCATAACACAATCTTCTAATCTCACTATCTTGTAATCATCTGCTTGTAATTTTAAATTTATTCCAAATTTGTTCTTAAATGCTAGCTCATAGAACTTGCACCTTTCTTCAGTATTCAAAAAGTTTCTCAGACTTTCTGCTTTGAAGGCAAATGAAGATTCTTTTTGTTTTGCACATTCCAAGAATTTCCAACAAACTTCTAAGTAAGCATCGTTTTTCCTTCTCCCTTGTAGAACACTTACTGGATAGAAGACTTTTTCCCTTACTAAAAATTTCCAAACTTTTTGAAACCAGAGGGTGTCACTTCTCTTCCAGGCTTTAGCAACTGTAATTCATACAGCCACTAAAAGATGAATGATCAGTTCTTTAGGACTCACAGGCCATGTCCAGATGAGCATGGCCATGTGATATGCGGTGCTGCAGACATCTTTAGTGCCGCATACCGCACATTCAGCTGTTTTGTGCTGCAAGATAGCAACATGGGAAGTTTTTTTGACACCTGGATATCCACAAAAAAAAAATAAGTGCTGGCCCCAGCCTCCCCTACAGCACCCAGGGTAACCTGCTGCGCGCCAGAGGGCGCATGGCACAGGCATTCCCTGGGGAGAACTAGCAGCGGTACAAGGTGTGCCCACTGTTTCTTGTCCCTAGGAAAACAAAACAGCCATGCTTATGTGGATGCGGCCATATGTTGCAGAGTTCTCAGGAAGGTTTAATAAGAATACTAATGGGTTATCTGATAGCTGGCACCCTGTTACTTCCTTTGTCACGTCTCCAAGCTTCTTCCAAAATGGTTTGATTCTGGGACACACCCATCATATAAGCTAGGATCTTCCCACCTGACCACATTCCCTCCAACAGTTGCCTGTTCCTGTACCAGAAATACATTTAATTTTAAGTGGTATGAGGTACCGTAGGTATAGGATTTTAAAATAATTTTCTTTTGTCATCGTGCAGATGGATGTGTGAGGACCATTGTTGTAGCTGGTCTCCCATTCTTTAGCACTAATTTCTGATTCAATGTCAATAGCCCATTTTATCATAAATAATGGTTTTTCATCTATATGGCCATTTAAAATGGATGTATATAACACAGACAGTAGACCTGTGTGTTTTCATAGGTGTGACCAATATTTTCTCAAATTCTGTCCAATTTCTAATAAAGTTTGCCTTTTTTTGGGAATATGTTGAAAGCTGCCTCAATTGCAGGCACTGGAAAAAGGGGATTTTCATGTTGCCTGCAGTACGCTGTATTTCTTCAAAAGACCTAAATGCACATTCTTTGAATAACCCCTTTTTGCTTTCTAACTGCTTCTATGGTATCTAGTGATTCAGTCACAAAGAGCTATATAATGAATTGGTAAGCAAGACTAGGAGGCAGCTGCATGTGACCTTCCAGTTTATGGCTTATCAAAAAGGGAAGATAATAAAAGAGACAATCTTCTAAAGCTATGTTCAGTAGACTAATCTTGGAAATGCAGGCATAGTGCCACTGAAGAGAAAAATGATATACTATATGCATCAAAAAGATTAGATGTCATCTGAGAATATAGATCAACATGGCAATTTACTCTTTCTGGGAAAGTCTCCAGAACAGTGGGTGCAAAATTTCTATCTTGGTAAAAGAATTCACTTTGGTAGTCCAATTTTCAAATGTTTACTGGATATATAATTTTCTGGTATTTGGATGTTCTCACTAGCATTCAGAACTATGTTAAGGAATTTAAGTGCTGATTTTTAAATGCCTTGCAGCATTAACGTAGATGTTTTTAAGCACCTACATTCATAAACGGGACCTTAAATATTAAAACAAAAACTTCCTATTAACACAAATTTTATAATATTTCGGTTTGTTATTGCTCAAGAATTAACTACTACTAAATTATATATTTAAAGTATGAATTACCATTAAACAGGCAAAACAAAGCCTTTGCAGCTTTACTAATTGAAGAAAAAGTAATGGAATAATAGAAATTATCACATGTATATTCTTTTCATCTTCAGAGAGCTTATCTGCTTGATCACAGCTGCAGTCTAATTAACACAAATGTAAAGCAAATCCTGACAGGCCTGGAAGCAGTAAGACTGACACCTTAAAATGTTAACAAAAGTGACATTGCAAAGCATATATATACACAGAACATTAAAGCACTGTGTAAAGATCATACTGAGAACAAACTCCTCCCAAGCAGAGGATTTCTGAAGAAATACTGCAGTAGAGAAAAAAATCCAAAGGCTCTAATGACTTTAACATTTAGTTGCTGAACATACACATACATGTACTACTAGAAGCATATTGAAGATCTGATGGAGGACACGAAAGGAAAATGCGGAATCCCTGCTGCCCACCCACTTAGCACTTTTGGGAAGCTGGGACTTCAGAAACAGAAATGTTCAGTAGCAGAGTGCTTACCAGACTGACAAAGGCTCCCTATACCAGGCACTAGCATCCAAATATCCTCCCTCTCCACCTTTATCATGTCTTGATTACATACAACACTATCCAGCCAACTGAGAACTAAGCAAAAATCAGACTACAGGTGCATCTGTCAGCTACCAGCATTTTATACCCATCTCAGACTTCAAGCCAGACCTGATATTGAGGCAACTGTTGCTCAGGTGAATGACTACTGCCTATTCACAGAGAAATACATCCATATGCAGCCTGGAAGATCCTCCAGTATTTGATACTTTTTAGCAACCAAATGTTGTTGTCCCACCACCACCAGGTATATCCTGAAACACTCTAAAAAGCCCCAAGTCCTCTTCTCTGCCCAACCCCAGAGGGTTATTACAGCCATAAGTTTCAACCTCCAAAAGCCCTACTTCCCACAAGAGTGAATATTCTCTCCCATATTATCATGTCACTTATCTGAAGTCAGAAAGAGCTGCTGAAACAGCAAGCACAGAAATGCCAGCAGCAAGCAGTGACAAACTCCAGCTCTTTATCCATTTTACATCAAGAATAAGGAACACCATCCCTGATAGGGACTGAGAAATATCAGGAACAGGTTAAGTCTGGAGCCAGGCAAGGCTTGTGCAATGTCACTGGGAAGAGGGAAATACCAAAGAACTGTTTCTAAAACGTCCCTTATTATTGAAGGCATGTGGCCTCACTCTGTGTCAAGTTTTTTGTTCCTTTTAGAACCTACAATTTTATTAGTTACTCAAATAGCTATAGAAGCAAAATAATGCCCACTCCCATCTGTGACTGGTCTGAAGACTGAACCTTTCCTTCCCTGTAAGACTCAGACCTAGTCATAGTGAACCACGTGTTCATGATCTCTGCTTTACTGTTGCAACTCCTATCTAGGAACAAAGCCACATGCCCTGAAAAAATGCCAACTGTTACAAAATGCAGAGGACCATCTGCTTAGCAACATGCTATCATAAACACCTAGTCCTGACGCTGCACTCTGCAGTTATTCCAGACTGAACACAGAACTGATGTCAGGTCTTTGAGACCTTTTACAGGTCTCAAAATTGAATGTGAAACCCATCTCTGTGATACTGCATTCCATGGCGTAGTGCCCTAAACACATCAAAATAACAATAGGTTTTGAAAAACTGAATGGCTACTCCAACTGTGTGTTCCCTGGTTAGGGATGAAGAAAGAGGAGTCTGATCATATCTCTATTTGAAAGGGTGGGAAAGGTTCTCGGATATTATTATAAAGGGCACAATCATAATTATAGGAATACTGGGCTGGAAGGTACCTTAAGAGATCATCTTGTTTGACCCTTGCACTAAGGCAGGATCAGACATAGTTATACCAGTCCAAGCAGATATTTATTTAACCACTTCTTATCATCTTTCGACGGTGGTGATTCCATAGCCTGTTCCTGGCTATCATCTTTATTATAGTTAAAAAGATTTTTCCGTATATCTAAGCTAAATCTTCTTTGCTGCAAATTAAGCTGATTATTTCTTGTCCTTCCCCCAGTAACTATGGGAAACAACTGATCACTGTCCTTTTTACAGCAACCTTTTATGTACTGAAAGACTATTAAGTCCCCTCCGCCATCTTCTCTTTTCTACACTGAATAAAACCAATTCCTTCAACCTTTCCTAATTACTCATGTTTTTTACACCTCTCATAATTCTTTTTGTGCCTAGACAAATAGAGATAGCAATACCCTAGTAGTAAAGACAAGGCAGATTATATAAACTGAAGATGATCTGGGAAATAGAGTCTCCTCAAAACCTATCGCTTAGTTATTGGGCTCTGGGAAATCTTGCTGCCATTTATGCAGTAGAAGTCATGGTAACTAATTTATACAGTTTTGCAACAATAGTAAAACTGCATCTGGGGACCATACAAGAGGCAAACAAAAATTGTTTACTGCTATTCCAAGAGAAAGAGGCATCTGCTGAGTTCCCAAATATGAAAGTAGCTGGATTTTTCTTTGCATTACAGTGACCTAGATTAGAAGGCAGAGAGCATCAGGTAACAGAAAGGACAAAAAGCTGCATTGTACAATGTCACTGCCACAGAACCTCCACAAATCATGGGCAAGGTCAAGCCACAGAACAGAAATGCAAACTGATTTGCATAGCATCTTTTATATTTAACTTGTTAAAAAGCACTTTACAAACAATAAGCTAGAGACCAGTAGCATATGTATTGTGCAGCCAAGCAGGGAACCGTTAATTGTTTAGGTTAATATATATCCCTACCCTTTTGCTTCAAAAATTCTTTGCTAAATCATATAAAACTGGGCAACTGACTGAAGCAGCCATGTGTTCTCTCCCTACAGTGACAGAGGATTCTTCATTTCTACATGTGTAATGTTAAAACATTAACTTATCATCTCATCCAGAGATCTCTTCATAGTTTACTGCAATATCGTCAATACTGCGGTTAACTTCCATATGATGTGAATTATACAACATGAAGAACACACATGATTTCAGTTGCAAAGTCATTTAGATTTAAATTTCTGTAAATTTCTACATACCTTTTCAAGCCAATAGGGAGATGTTTTAAATGTAGAGGACCCAAAATTTTCCCCTGCAGAAGGCGATGGATATGGGTGTGGTAAATTTAAACCCAAGTACAGAACAAATGGCCGAGTAAAATTAGTGGCCTCTTTCCTTATCCAATATACTGCTTTATCAGTATTCTGCCAATCTTCTTCCATCACTCTCACATACATCTTATTACCAGTAAGATTCACCATGGGTCTGCCTTCTTGTTGAAGCAGGAAATCAACATCTCTAGTCCAAGCTTCCACACGATTACTAAAATTAAAATAATTGCAGTCAGTGGACAGCATCTCCTCTTGTTCTGCAACTAAACATCTAGTTATTCCACATCAGTTTAAAATTTCCAAGGAACATTCTCTCACATTTGCAACTGTATTTTTTTTGCAGATTCCACAAATGGAATCAGTATTATTCCATTCAAATAACCAAAATTGACATTATTCATAGTTTTAGAACCAGACCACAAAGATTCCTCCACTGAGGCCTTGCAGTGCTTAAAATGTAGCTACAACCTATTGCTGGGACTCTATTTTACATTACGTGATCATTAGTTAAAAAAGAAAAAAAGCACAGAAATAGATCCATGGTTCTTCCTCCCCAGAGGAGGATCATATCACCAAGGTAGGCTCCTTCTCACTTGTCCTCCTTTTAGTCCCATAAACTTGCATTGTTGAGAGTGCAGTAGCCCAGTTGCAAGAAGGATGGGGGTTGCTCTGCTCCAGACTGTTCTATAGGTTTGTGTTTAGGACACTCCTAGGAGGTGAAACATGCAATTTTGAAACCCCTGAAGCTAAGAAGGGCTTAAACATGTCTCTCACTACCTGGGTGAGTCCTCTAATCACTCAGCTACTGGAGAAATGCTAGGCACCTTCTGCTCCTGCTATTTTTTGTAATGAACTACCGATATATGCACTCTGTCAATGTGAAGACTTAAGTGGACTTTAGGTGCTTCTCAGAATTGATCTAACTCGCATTGGAACTTGTGTTTTAAAATGACCAATACTAATTGCTTTTTAAGATGTACAGTAGCCAAAGTCTAGGTGATTAAAAGATATTTTTGGGCCCAGAGCCCATCAGACTACCTAATCAGTTTTGGTGTTACTGAAGCCTAGTCCATCAGAATTGCTTTTTGTGATCCAAGTACCTAAATCTTGTTCAAGTGCCTACAAAGCCGATCTGGATCTGGCACTTAAGTTATTAATTTTCACTTCTAAATTTTATATCACCCTATTTATGGTCATTTTCCTATACGTTATCCTTTTTTCTGTTTCTGAGCCTTCCACCAGTTCCATCTCTGCGGATGAACTTTTGGGGGCAGCACATCCAATCTTGTTACTTCATTTTTCACTTTCTGGTACAGATTCATTTAATTTAGTGTGATGAATCTGGTCTTTAATTTTTATAGTCAAACATACAATACACACCTTTTCCTCCAATATCAGCACCCCCAAGGAGCACTCTTGGAAACCCTGTGCATGCCATGCAGCTGCAAAGAGGGCTGCCACTTATGTCTGCTAAACAAACTATAAGGGAGGAGTCTTGTGTTACCCTCTCACAGCTGTAGCTATTGGCAGAGCACTATAGCTTGTGCCCAAAGCAGGAAGTGGGCTGTTGCTAGCATCTTGATGATGCTTCTGGTATGGGAACAGTACAGTATTTGTGGGAATTTATAGAAAAAACTACCCACCTCTACTGCTGCTCTTCACAAGGGTTTAAGGCAGGGATGGGGAAAATGGCAGATCTGGCTTGGCTAGACTCCATTTCCAGGAAGCCCTGGCTTCCAGTTGATCTCCATGGAGACCCTAGGAGTGTGGGGGTGTGACAGCACAGGACCATACCAGTTCAGGGCTGCGGATCCAGGGCTCTGCCCCAGCCCGGCCCCGCATTGTCACACCCCCACGCTCCTGGGGTCTGTATGGAGACCAGCTAGGAGCGCATGGGTAGTGCACTTTGCCAGGCAAGGACGTACTCCAGGGCTGGGATCTTGCAGCAGTGACAGCATGGGGTGGGGCTGGGGCAGAGATGTGATCCACTGCTCGTGTGCCCCCGCCCATGAAACCCGTGCTCGTCGCAGGGGTATGCGGACAACAGATTGTGGTTCTGCCTCAGCCCTGCCCCATGTTGTCACCACAAAATCCCAGCCCCAGAGCAGCTCCCCACCTGGCCATGTGCCCTATCCACAGGGCTCCTGGCCAGTCTCCACTGAGACCCCAGGAGTGTGGGACTGTGACAGCATGGGGCCAGGCTGGGCTGAGGCAGAGCCCCGGATCGGTGGCCCTGTGCTGTTATGGCCAGTGCTGTCATGTTCCCGTGCTCCTGGGGGTCCCATGGAGACTAGCTGAGAGCCAGGGCTGCTGCGAAATAGAGTTTGCCATGGGCTCAATGTGGCCTGTAGGTCGGATGTGGCCCACTCCTAGTCTATGACAGATTAAGTCCTCCTGGAAACATACTATCCAGGAAATGTGGCATCACAGGAGACACACTAGGAAGTTTCTGATGCAGCAAACTGTTGCCTGCAATGCCACACTTCCTGAACACTGTCTGTTTCCAGGAGGGTCTTGTTCTATGTCACAGTCAGCCATGACTCTGGAAAAAAAAGTTTTTTCTGCATTCTGCCTTCCAAAAGCAAGGTGTGTGTTTTATTTTGGGATGTTCAACATGCAAGAAAATACTTGCCCCTTTCAATACCCTAGAGCAGTGGTTCCCAAACTGTGGGTCACAACCCCAAATGGAGCTGCAACATCAGTGGATGGGGTCATGATAAACAAGGATCTGGGTGTTCCAGACTGAAAAACACGGGGAAAATGCAGTTTGCCTCTTGGAGGCTGGCAGAGTTCCAGCCTCCTCCACTCCTCCCATGGGCTCTACTCCAACTGTGCTGCCCGTGGCGGGGGCTTTGGGAGGGGGAGTCAGGCTCTGCACCCTGCTCCAACTGCAGCAATCGCTGCGTTCCACAGGCAGCAGCCAGGGCTCGGGCATGAGGGGCCATGCTGACAAAATGGGGTCATAAGTGGGGTCATGCTGATGAAAAGTTTGGGAAGCACTGCCCTAGAGCATACCTCAAGGGGCAGTCATTTGTCTGAGGAATCAATACTACTCTTTCAATTTGATGATGATGATGATGATGACTCCTTTTTAAAACACTGTCACTTGAAACAAAATCTCTAGTTATGACCCCACTGATTCCAGTTCATAATACTACTAAAGGAAGAGGAAAAGATGAACTGGGGATCCAAGAGGCATGGGGTCGGGATATCATTTTATATCATTTTAAATAAAATATAATCCCCCCCAGGTGTGGAGATGATGCCCTCTAGTGGTCATGTGGCTCCTGCCCTACTCCAGCTCCTGGGGTATGCTCCCTTTTTCCCTCCAGGACCCTGCTGGCTCCCATTCTTACCCTTCTCATGTCAGATGGGCCCTCCTGCTCATCTGGGTCCCCAGGGTACCTGTTACCTTAAGGGCTATTCATGACCTCCTTCCACCCCTACAGCCATCTCCATGTCTAACAGATGCTGGTTAATCACTCCAATGAGACCCCCTAACCCAGTAGAATGTCTGGCCTCCTCAGGCCTCCAAGCCTTTGTCAGGGCCTCAGCCTTCCTGGCTTCCACCCTTTTTCTCTAGTTGGGCTCCTTTAGTATAGACCCTGGGTATGACGTTAAACTGCATCCAGCAGTAGGACAATTTTAACTGTTAGGGTATAGTGAGACAAGTACTCTCTAGCTACTGAAGTCTCTGTGTCACCCTTAGGTAAGGTGTTGCACCCATCAGCCTCCCTTACCAGGGTTGAAGCCATTGGGGGCGCAGAACAGTGGATCATCTCATCTGGTGGATGCCTGATGCAAGTGGGACAACAGAGGGACTTGCTCAAGTTAGCTGAGCACTGCACCCTGTAGCAAAAAGTGGCAACCTACTGCAGTGGACTTTCAACAATCCATGGACTTTCAACAATCACACAATGGCATGAAGAGGGTCCCTGACAGAGAAGGTCAGGACACCTTGTCCAGTAAGGATAGTCACGTGCGACAGGTGACTCATGACCGTCAGCATGCTACTGTCCAAACTCAGAAGAGAGCAGTCAAAAGTGGCAATGTGGAATGTGAGGACTGTACATCAAATTGGGAAATTGGATAATGTCAAGCATGATATGAAGAGATTAAAGATCAATATTCTACGTCTGTGTGAAACACATTGGAAAAGAGGCTGGAATTATTGTTTCAGAAGATGTGAAGAACATGGATTGTTTGAAAATTCTTAAGTCAGAAGTACAAACAGTTATCAATCGAATGAAAACCAATAAAGCTACAGGTCCAGATTAGATTGCAGTAGAACAAATTAAATGTTTGGAAGGGTTTGGTAAGAAAAGTTAACAACTGTTCTCATTGAGATCACAACTGCTATGAAAGTGGAGAAATACCTGAGGACCTCTGTAAATTGATCTTTATCGAGCTCCCCAAAAGACCTGGCGCCATTGAATGGGAACTCCATAAAACCATCAGTTTAATGAGCCATGTGACAAAGATCCTATTAAAGGTGCTGATGTTGAGAGCTAGAAGTAGAATAAGACTGGAGAGTGCAAAAGTTCAATGTGGTTTTGTGGAAGATTGAGGTACAAGAAATGCTGTCCTCATGGTACGAATGCTTTTGAATAGAAATGAGGGAAGACCTTTTCTTGTTTTATTGATTGTACGAAAGCTTTTGATAGAGTCAAGCACGAGGAGTTAATGAAAATGCTGGAAGAATTAGATATTGATGGTAAAGACTTGAGAATTTTAAGAAACCTCTATTGGGACCAAACTGCAGCAGTGAAGATAGAAAATAAATGAAGTGATTTCATCCAAATCAAGAGAACCGTGAGGCAAGGCTGTGTTTTTCACCTGACTTGTTCAGCTTATACAGTGAGAAAATACTGAGGGAGATTGAGGATTGACTAGGGCTGATAATTGGCGGACAGAATTTGAAAAACTTGTGTTATGTTGATGACACAGTCTTAATAGGTGATTCAGAAGAGAAGCTGCAAGGAATTTTAGATAAAACTGTTAGTGAAAGCAAGAAGAAGGGTTTAAGTATCAACTGTAGAAAAACAGAATGCATGGTAATTACAAAGAAGATCATTCCTGTATGCAACATCAAAGTGGAAAAGGAATAGATAAGGCAGGTTAATAAATTTAACTACTTGGGAAGCTAGATAACATCAGATGGTAAATGTGATCATGAAATAAAACAGAGAAAGGACACATTTCTGAAAATGA